TTCACGATTTTGCGTGTCATCCTGCGCAAGGATGACACGCAAAATCGTGAAGCGTTCCACATTTTTGTGGTAAAATTTAAAATAAAATAAAACTGCCAGCCTTGGTCGATCTAATCCCAGAGTATTTTGTTTTAATTACTGGCGATACAACAATTCCAAATTTGGTTTAATACATGTAGTTTTAATGTACATTGTAGTACTATCAAAGAGAAGCCATTGAAAGGCCGGCCCTTTTGTAGAATTATACACCAATGCCACCGACATCAATTTTATCAGGATATTAGATAGGCAGAGAAACGTAAATCGCGAAAGGCTACTGTATACAAGTCTTTAATCGCGAGGGTATTTCCTTTTCCGTTTTACGTTCTCCACCTGATAGATAGATAAACCAACGTGTGATTTTATCTTCCAATTGGTGGATCTTGTTCTCGAGAACCTCTTCAGGAATTTTGGCGACTATTTTACTTCCCTTTTTTGATCCTGTATACATCCTACAATTTAAACTTATTTTTGTTGCAAATGCTTCAGAGTTGGTTTGAGTAGCTTTGTCACGGATTAGTAAAAAGATTAATTGTTGCTTTTGTATATTTTAGAAAACAGTGGTTGCTTTATCCACCTGGCGCTTCTCTGATACCAGTTAGACTTCCTTATGAAGAGTCAACGGTTTACAGCAGATATAACCTTTTTTGTCTGAGTGAGGAAGAAAAGGAGTATTTGTTAGATATATCAGACAAACCGAAATTAATAACGCTAGAACCTGGAGATGTTTTATTCGTGCCCAATGGCTGGTGGCATTATGTGGAATCTTTAGATGACGTCACTGTGAGCGTAAATATGTGGGGGAAACTGAAAGCAGATAATAGAGCACGACTAGAGGAAGCTTTGGTTAAATTGATAATAGGCAAGATGGGAGACTATAAACAAGAATATGAATTTCCGAGCAGGCACATTACATCTTATACAACACTGGTAATTTCTTTCAAGAAACATTATTGTTGTTAATTAGAATCTCTAATCAGAGTCCGACGGCAACGTTCGATTGGTATTTCTATTTCCGGCAACTCCCGGTCGAAAGAGATAGAAATAGCGAATATCTTTCTCTCTTGCAGAATTGTGCCAGAGCTGGCCTGTTGGACAGACTCTGATTACAGAGACTCTATTGTTAAACACACGATCTTAATTTCTAATACTATTTCAATAGGTTGAACGCGCTGTTGAATGCATAGAAAAGGAGCGGCAGGAGAAAGCGAAATCAACAAGCGGTCATAAAAGCTTTGAGAAAAGACTTAAACCTACAAAAAGACCTCAACCTCAACTACAGACTGCATCAGAATTAGCCGAGGAATATCCGTTTTATGTTAAAGCCTTACCTGACGCAGACAAAAGCGAGTTCGAAGAATTTCTTGAAGAAAAACGGAAAAGGGACAGAGAGAAATATCCATCGGAAGAAACAAGCGCATCTGGAGATTTCGTACCTAATCCTCAATATGATTCGTTCTTTGAATCTATTATCAATGCCTTATGTCATCCAGAGGTTATTAGTAAAGCAGCGGAAGTGTTGCTAGAGAGACACTATTAATAATAAGAATTATTAATAATAAGATTTGTATTATTTTTTTATTAACCAATAACAGTCATTGTAGGAAACTTGTGGCGAATTCGGTTGCTTGCACTAGTGCTTGCACACTGAGTGCACGCTAAGGCATTGTTTATAATTCTTATATTTAAGTTTGTCTTAAAAATGCATGTTCAAAGGGTATTTAGTCAAAAAATGATCCGTGTAAACGTTTTACAGACCATTTTTCTAAATAAGAAATGTTGCAAGAAGTATTTAAGATCTCAAAATATAAGAATTGACTGGAAACAAGGCTTATAGCGAATTCGATTGCTCGCACTAGTTCGCACTGAGGCTAGTTTCTGGTAAATTTTCATACTTGACTTTGTCTTGAATACGTGTTCAAAAAGTATGTGACCAAACAGTTATCTGCGTAGATTCTGTATAGACCTGCATTTTACTGGCTATGAAATATTTCAATAAATATTTAAAACAATTCTCAAATGTAAGAGTTGATTAAACAAACCTTAGCGTGCACTCGGTGCGCACTAGTGCAACCAACCAAATTTGTTATTAATAAATAACTAGCAAATTTAAATTACCACATTCTTTAGCATGTAAGTGAAGAAATTCACGAAAGCAATTTACGAGAAGTTTGCCAGTTGTGTCGTTTATTAATTTTCCTACCTCAATGACGTTATTAAAAAGACATTACTGATGTACTGATACTAATCTAAGACAATTGCATTCCTATTATGTAAATGTGACATTATACAGGGTGTCAGACTCGTTTGTAGCCAACCTAAGAATTACGGTAGATTGGGTTAAACTGGGAAGAAAAGTCATGTACCGTTGTGCAAAATTAGCAATAGTTATCGCGTAATTGATAAAAACGTCGAATGAACGCACAAGGAAGGCCGGACCCGGCAGGCATGCAAAATGGTTTATTTGTTTATATCTCCTAGGACACAGTAGCGAGAGGTGTGGAGTCACGTCGCTCGTCACTCAATGCGTGACGCGCACTGAGTGCACACTAAGGCTTGTTTAATCAATTCTTACATTTGAGAATTGTTTTAAATATTTATTGAAATATTTCATAGCCAGTAAAATGGCCTATACAGAATCTACGCAGATAACGTTTTGGCGACATACTTTTTGAACGTGTATTTAAAACAAAGTTAAGTATGAACGCATTTTGCATACCTGCCGGGTCCGGCCTTCCGCCCCTTGTGCGTTCATTCGACGTTTTTATCAATTACGCGATAACTATTGCTAATTTTGCACAACTTGTGACTTTTCTTCTCAGTTTAACCCAGTCTACCGTAATTTTTAGATTGGCTACAAACGAGTCTGACACCCTGCATGTGTATAGAAATATATCATTTTTATTAATATTATTAGACTTAGGGCCGATTTTTTCACTTCCCGATAAAATTATCCGGAGGTTAATCTCAAGTTTTAGCCAATCACGTGCATGGATCTGGTAGTTTATCTCCTGGTTAACTTTAACCGCAACATAACTGGATGTGAAGAAATCGGGCATTAGAGATATGTAATATTATTGGTCTGTGTGTCTATGTTCTAGTTACAGGAAATTTACAAAAAATTTAGCTGTGAGTTTTTAACTTTTTTGACAAGTATATGTGTATTGTATGTATGTATGTATATACACACATACAATGCAGTGTTTGCATACAATATCCAACAAACCCAATAATAATACATATTAAATGTTTACGTTAAGCGCAAATAATACAAAGTTGAAGGTGTAAAAGTGATGCAAATAATTTGAGTTAAATTGAGAAGGTATTGATTACAATTACTTTTAATATAATTCGTATAGTATGAATTTGTAAATCAATCACTTCTTTATAATCGCTGACTCAACAATCAACTTTGTTAAATCGGAAAATATAGTAGAAACACATATCGGCAAATATAACATCAAATGCAGAACTTTAGACAAGAGACTGAGATGCAAAGGGCACGTGTAAAATATGAGTTGTACTTTTTAGCATCATAGAAACAACTCTCTCAAATGTACTCATAATTTTCAATCAATCAATTTCTTATAAAACAAATGGGATGAAGATCTAGGGCCGGTATTCATAATCAGATCTTATAATCAAGACTGTCTTAAGGTATTCCATAGTCACTTAATACAGCATCTTTAGATTAAGTCAAAATTGCCTTCAATATAAGATCTGACTGAATACCGGCGTAGAAGTCTTTTATCGACTCTTATTTACTATTTACTATTAATTAAAATGTAAGTGGAAATAAAGTTCTGATGAGTTTTTTAAATTGAAATGCATATAGTTATTCATAAATCCCATTGTCCCTTCACGTTGATTCTGATTGTATTTCAATTTCTTTTTTCGATTTTCAAGAATTTAGATCTTTCCGGTTTGAAACTGCGAATTGCAAACTAAAATTTCTAAAGTTTCAGGAATTCTCGATTCTCAGAAATTTCGAAAAATTTCTTAGAAATTAGACAACGCGACCTCCTTGTCGCTAATATTCTCTTTGTACTTCATCGATGTTTCAAAGTTTTGATCTTGCGTATGTATGTACAGAAATTGCGATTCGAGAAAATCTCGGATTTTTGGACAACGCAACCTCCTCGCCGATCGTGTTCTCCTGATACTCTGCCAAGTTTTTAGAGCGTGGATCTCAGCAATTTAAACTCGAGGGATTCTCAGAAAATTCTTGAAAGTTTAGATACTGTAATATCTTTGTCGATTATATTTTCCTAATATACATATATTCGGTCAACTTTCGACATTTTTATTAGTCAAACATTTTATACATATTGTATAAGTCGATAAAGGACCTTTTTTAAATTCCATAAGATACGCACGAAAGGTCCTTTATATCGATAATCAATAATAACGATATTTTTTAATTATCCTTGCAGTCATCAAATAGTTTTTATCGTTTTCATCCAACTCACCCCAGCTGGTTTTTGATATACAATAATATAGTACTTCGACGGTGCACGATGCTATCTGTGGCGCTGTTATCGTCTGGCGCACGCACTTCATAATAAAACTGTTGGAGGTTAGAGACGTTTCTGTCAAGGATTCGCGTCTAAACATTTATCTGTCAACGATCTGAACATTGTGAAGTAATTAATGGGTTGACAATGGGTCTGTTAACGGTGCTGAAAAAATTGAAGCAGAAGGAAAAGGAGATGCGAATTTTAATGCTGTACGTATTCACGTTTGTGTACCTATTTTATATATCCAGCTTGTGGTTAGTCTACACGCTGACAGGTCAATGAATGCTACGCTTATTAAAATTACAGCGCGTTAAATAATTCAAGGCAATAATTTCCAAGTACACGCATTCCGTCACTTGCCCTCAACAGCGCCGCGTTACAATTACAGGGGCCTGGACAATGCAGGCAAGACGACGGTGCTGAAGCGACTCAATGGCGAACCGATAGACACTATCTCGCCCACGCTTGGCTTTAACATCAAGACGCTGGAACATCGCGGGTACAAGCTCAACGTGTGGGATGTGGGCGGACAGAAGTCGCTGCGTTCCTACTGGAGAAATTATTTCGAGTCGACGGACGGGCTGGTCTGGGTGATAGACAGCGCCGACAGAAGGAGACTGGACGATTGTAAAACGGAGCTGTACAAGCTCCTGCAGGAGGAGAGGCTGGAGGGCGCGAGTCTCCTCGTGTTTGCGAACAAGCAGGACATGCCTGGCGCACTGTCCGCAGCCGACATAGCAGACATTCTGGAGCTGCCCAACATAAAGACTCACCACTGGCAAATTTACAAGTGCTCCGCGGTGACGGGCGAAAATCTGGTCGACGGTATCAATTGGATTGTGGACGATATCGCAGCGAGAATATTTTACATAGATTAGATCAGATTCACAGATGCGTCGATCGCTCTTCACCGCGTTGAACGCAAAAATCAGCACTCGACAAATTTGCGCAAGATGATATTTACGTTGCGATCCTTGTGAAAATATGTAACATAGTCACGCATTTTCTTAAGATCTTTCGATAATTTATTACGTAATATACATTTTTTTTCAAATGTCCTTAGGTTTATTTTTTATGCTCTTCAATAATAGCTTTTATGCGACTTGTATGTCTTTTATTCGTCCCGCTTTCTGTCTCGTTTTGGTTTATTTGGCGGTCTTGAGTTTTTTTTTCTTCAATTTTAATAGCGTGGCTGCCGCTTCCGGATACTCCTCTAAGTAAAAGGATTTTAACAGTTTTCGATTGACAGTGTTATTCGGTCCCTCGAATGCATTCATAATCTCGTTGACGAGCGACGTCGAGAGCTTCAGCCTGAACTTCTGCACCAGCTCCGTAAATTTTGCTGCGAAAGAGGAAATTTGTTTTGAATTTTTTTAGAGACACGAACAATTCTCGTAAACTAAGAAAGTGTCCAAAATCAAGCGCGCTCTCGCAAACGTACTTCGTGATACTTTCTTGTCTTTCAGCGACATCACAAAGTGGCCGAAATTGCGTCGTCGCCTCTTTCGTTTCGGCAGCATCGCCTCGTAATTCGCTCTTTTCAAAAGTATCCTTCTAACGTTCGGCCCAACGAGCCGATAATTGCTCAGAATACCGCCTAACTTGATTGTGACCCACGGCCTGTGCTTTTCGATTATTTCCAGGTTGTGAATAACGTCCTTGCTTGCCCAAACGTTCTCCAAGTCTAAGAGACGTAAAGCACTATTGGGCGATTGATGCGGTGTGACAGCGTGAACCAGATTTGAAGCACCTTGTGCTCTTAAAGGGTTGTTTCCCAGGCGCAATTCTTGGAGCGTACTATTTCTTGATAGAGCTTTTGCAATGATTTCAGCGTCGTCCTCAGTAAATCTATTCCCTGATGAATCACAAAAAAACAAGCCCTTTAAGAAAGCGGCATATTTATCTCTGGATTTATCCCTTGAAAAAATATTTCAACTGACTGTTAGACGTTCGTATCTTAAAGTAATTTTCTATTCTTTCTTTTTCGTTCTGTTTCATAAAAACATAATAGAATATACAACGACTTTGAGAAAGCTGAGCCATTCCTTAAATAAGGAAGATTGTGAACAAGTTCTTTTATCTCTCTTTTAATTGCGCGCGAAAACAATATATGCATTCTTAGAATGTGATACACATTTACAACTTAAGTCCAGCCTCTCGATGTTCTGCGAGCGGGATAATAGTCTGTAAAGATACGGCACACATTCCTGTTCAAGTGCGTTCCAGGATAAATTCAGAGAACGTAGTGTCCCATTTTTCTTAAATCCGTCAACCAGAGCTTTCCAGATTTTTGCGTTATACAGAGAGTTCCAGGAGAGGTCCAGATGCGTCAAGCCTATCGCATGCGAGAGGAGATCCCGCAGATTTTCCGAGCACGTCTTATCCAGATGATTGTCGGATAGATTAAGGCTCTCCAAGTCTTCGTTGTTCGATAATGCGGACGCGATGTATCCGAGGCCCTCGTTGCCGATGTTGCAGCCGCCGAGATCGAGCGTCTTCAGAGTCGTGTTCTCCGATACCGCATCGCATAATTTTTTTGCACCGTTCGGGCCAATTTGGCAACCCGACAGTGACAAGTCGGTTATCGTGTTGTTTCTCAGCAGTAAATTGTTTAAATATCCGCATGCATTCGAGGACAGTTTATTATCCTACAACAAAATAGTAGCAGTTAGCGGAAAAGGAGATATTAATAAACGAAGTAATGTTTGCATTACAGTGCCCAAAGTTCAAGAACTCATTTCTAATCTGTACACGAGTCTTGCTCGGACCTAAAGGCGCTCTCGCTTGTTTGATTTGTATCACAATGGTCCTATTTAACATAATTTTATCATTAAGCTTGTTTGTTGCACCTTCAGGTCCAGCTTTCGCACGAAGGTGTTGTCGGCCAGAGCGTCGCAGATCGCTCTCATTACTGGCGAGCCGAATCCGTAATACCGCAGATTCAAGTGATCGGTCATGAGCATGTCCTTCAACGAGCCGATCGGTCTCAAACCCACGCGCCTCGCCGCGTCGTAGAATTTCTGCACGCCATCCGGACTGTAACTTTGCGGACCCTCGCGTAGCAGCCAGAAAGCTGGCAGTAATCCGGGATCGTTTGGCACCTGATACACCGTGTACGGATTCACCATTTCCAGCTGGGAATCGCTGATGTCTATCTCGCGCAAACACGGATGAATCGAGCTCTCGGTGGACACTCGGTCACTCACGACGTCTTCATCTTCCGGCGTGATCGGCGTCTCCTCAGACACGTCGTCGTCTTTCTTCCGTTCAACCTACCTTGCACACCGTAGCACTTTACTAGAGACTTGTCCAAAGTTAAAGAGAGGTCCTATCGTTTATTTGCATCGTGGCCTAATTATCTAACAAGATCTAATGTATCTAATAAGATCGAACCGGGAAATGCCGGAAAATACATTTGGGACATTCTGTGTGTTACTGAAATATGAAGCTACCAAAAGTTACACGGATCAGATGCCGCAAAAGTGTTTTCTTGTCTTCAGCCTTGATCGCTGAGTCCTTCGTTCTAATTGCTTCGAATTCCATCATAAACTTAGTCATTATATCAGTCTCGTCGATCATTTCTGATTCCGCCTCGACGTCTGTGCTTTTCTCTTCCATAGCTTCTTCCAATTCTTCTTCCGATTCCGTTTCGACGTCCTCGTCCTCCTCGATATCATCTGCATCATATTCGGTCCACGCTTCCGTTTCTTCATCTTGCAGTGCTTCAGCAGCATCTTCGATATCTTCTAATGTCTAAATATTTACGGATTTATATAAGGTAATAAAGCCGATATACTGATCGAGATAATGCTCGAGGTCTTGATAACCCAGCTTCTTCACTGCTTCCTTTATCTCACTATACGGGATTGGATTCGACGTAGATGCCCAAGATGCGGTCCGCAGGTACATTAGATTGGGGTCGTGGCCGATATAATTTGATCCCTGGCTTTCAATAATATTAACATGTGATTTACGCCAGGGATCAAATCGTTATATCGGCCACGACCCCAATCTAATGTACCTGCGGACCGCATCTTGGGCATCTACGTCGAATCCAATCCCGTATAGTGAGATAAAGGAAGCAGCGAAGAAGCTGGGTTATCAAGAGCTCGAGCATTATCTCGATCAGTATTTGCAGCTTCTGGAGGAGGATAGTACGCAGTTTATCAAACGGGTTGGCGATTCCGGTGGAGGACAGTACAGCATTAACATGAAGAACGCATTTGTACAATTAATATGGGCGACTTTGGACCGCATCGTAACAGAAAGATTTGGTTTTATTTCATCTTCGGTAGGCTGCTAACCTTGCCCTTGCCGAAGGAAACCTCTCCTTCACTAAGGAGCGCAAAAATTTACATTTATTTACATTGAGATTTGTGGCGAGTGGAGCGCACATTTCTTTGCCCCACACTTGCCACAAATCTCAAAGTAAATAAATGTAAATTTTTGATCCATTTCAATATGTGGCAACAATGTCTTGTTTGGTTTTGAACCCGGGTCTCCGGATTACCAGACCAGCGCACAATCCTTTGCGCCACGATCGCCACAAATAAAAAAGGTAAAAAATAATAAAAATAAGGCAATAATATAAATATATAGTTGTACCTTAATCGCTACCGTTAATTGTTATTTCAATATCACATGTGGTTTTATTTTGAATGGAAAATGTATAAAAATTGTTAGCATAGTTTTATTCGTTCAGGCGTCGCGAAAGAGAAGGCGTGTCGGAACGTTGTAGAAATCACTATGGTTTAAATACCTGTGCGAGATCCATATTTACGGGTCGTACATATCTTACTCGTTCACGAAATTCATGATACAACGAAAGCTTGTATAAATATAAATGTCATCGTATCAAGACATAATAGACGATTCCTAAATTTGCAACAGTTCGCTATGTGAAATTAGGCACAGATTCGCATAGACTGAAATGGATGCAGGGTTGGGAAGTAACTCGTTACTTGTAACGTAGTTTACATCAGTTACCTACTGGACTGCTTGCTTTATCGACACGTTTTACAATTCAAATGAAGATTTGATATTTTTATTTTCACTGCAATAAAGTAACTGAAAAATAACGATTTATTACTTTTTGAGTAACTGTAACGTGTTACTTCCCAGAATTGGTAACTTATAACTGTAACTAGTTACATCTTTAGCCAAACAACTGTAACTGTAACTAGATACTTTAATAAAGTAACTTTCCCAACCCTGAATAGATGTAACATCATAGTGTAATAAATTCTTTTTCTATAAATAATGCAAAATTGTCAAAATTGAATTCTGATGTTCTCAATAATAACATTACTATTTCGTAATGGAAGCTGTAAGCTATCGCTTTGCATTCGTTCGCTCGGAAGAGATCTTCATCGTCGATCGGCGGCCACTATTGCGTTTCACACGAGCCGCAATCGCTCATCGCGGGGTGCATGATTCATCCACCGGGTATTTGTCAAGTGGCTCTTCTGGTCCATTGTATTGTAATTTCGGCAGATCGTTCATTCAGCGGTACGTGCCTCGTACACGAGAGGACCCGTCCCATCTCGTTACGGCATCGGCGCGGCGGCAACTACGAGATGACCCGCCGAGCACTTTGTTAATCTCGGCCGCGCTTTCGATGGTAATGGCATTGGTATTATCTCTAATGAAACAATCGTGACGGGCCATTGAAATCGGCGCCGCCCGTATCTCCATCTTCGAAGAGAAGCGAATGGATTTATGACTTCGTAATTGGCTGGCGAACAATGTGAGGATAATTCGATAACTTCGATATAAATTTCTGCAACGTTCCTCCCCTCTTTAAAAATAATAAGCAATATACATTAAGCGGCATTGTTAATTGTAAAATATTGCGGAATTTGTTATCAAAAAGGAAGAACTTGGACAACAATCAACTTACAAGTAACATCAATTTGTAGATTTAATTTTGTCTATATCGAGTACTCCTCGACTTCTGTTGTACGAGAATACATAAAATCTTACTTTTCTCGTAGCTCGTTCTCCCTTCCATGTTTCGCTGATGAAATAACAGGTAGGAAGACTGTTCTCTCCCGGTGACTTCGATGCCGGGAATGCGATAACGCGAGTCATCGGCACATTTGATGCAAGGGTGCAATAAATCGTGGACGCCAGGTCGAAGGGTTGTACTTTTTATTGAAATCCTTCACATCGTCGTAAACCTATACGGGGGGAGGGGGGGGAGAGGAGAAGGGGTAGTAGGAGCTTATGTACACGCATTTGTTTGCACATTTCTCGACATCAAACACGAATAATCACAACGCGTGGATGCTTTTTAATTGTTTACCGTCGATTAGACCAAAAGCATTAGTTTGCCAGATCTTTACCGCCGTCGGCTTTAGAAGCCGACGGGAGCGAACGAAACAAATTACATGACAATGATCAACTATTGCTTATGATCTGGAAATAATTAATACGAGGCAATAAAATAAAAATAATATAATATATAAAATATAAAATAATATATAATATATATATATTTATATATATATTCATTCGTCTCTCACTCTCTTCTATATGTATTCGTACAATAATATAGCTTTCTCTACAAAATAAAGTATCTATTATAAAACTTTGTTCCTTCCTCTGCTGTAAATCTATGTATACGCCTAAAACGAGCTATACTTCTTAGTTTAAACTAGTCTGTTGCCGGACACTTCGCTGGGGGATGCGGGAGACGCTAGTATAAAAAAAAGGAGAGAAAATTGCACATCTAAGGGCGGGGTCAATAATGACTGGGGATGAGAACGATCTGGACATGTGTACTTGGATTTATTTACATCGTTCCACGATGCAATAGCGTCACTATGTACATCGTTCGTTTTTTACTCCGCGCTCGAATACGTTTCTAAATCATATTACACTTACGCCGCTAATATGTTCTTTACAAGTCAAATGTGCCGTCGCGATTTAGCACATCCTCTCGCAATGGCAGTATCTCACATCGCGTAGAAATCACGTGTCGTATCTTCGCGAAGAAACGAAAATAAAACTCGAGCAAGTGTTGAAGTAAATGAACACGCGGAGTACCATAGTAATGCTATACAATGACGTTGTTTCTTCTATGAGTATCACAATAATATCGTCTGAAGGAACGTTTGAAGCCCACGTTACATCATACAAAGCACACTTTCACGTACGATGATCGAGCGATTGTCTGCGCGACGTATCAATCGCAATAGTCCCCCAAAATGATGAACCTAAGGAAACTTTTGTATCTTTCGTGAAATTTCACTTACACGTTACGTTTACGTACCGTTTACGTATCATCTTGGCCTTAATTGAAACGCAGCTTTGCTTCGACGATTATACTTGACAAACGTACAATACATCTCGTAGGTGCGACGGTGCCATCCTATTTTTTAAATTATGAAAATAAAAATGCTAACAATGGCGATATATAATAATATCAAAAGAGTACAGGATTATGTGTAAACATATAAAAAGGCGCGTATAAGGGGGAGGAATGGCAACGCCGGAGAGGATGCAAAGGAAATACAGGCTTAGTGAAATTAATAAGTACGAGCTATGTACATATGTACAACGATAACAACTCATCATTATCATTAAAATTATTTATAATTGTCAATCGCTTATTGTCGTCGTATAGAAACGCGAGAGGGTCGGACAAGGAGAAAAAGAGAGGAAGTAGATTTCAATTGCTCTCTAAATGTTCAATCTGAAAATCGCGCAAACGTTTTTTGTACAATTATCCAGAATTTGACAAGTTTAATATTCTAATAATACTATGGACGAAGCGATCCTCAAAGGATGCGCTTCGCGAAGGCATTGAGAATTTATGCGTCACCTTAGCATAATCGTATTGCTGAGCCCTGTAAGAATCGTGCGTTCTCTTTCTTTTCCTCTGCGTTTGTCCCTAATATACTCTAGACATTGGTTCAATTTTCATGAAGAAGAACCTCAGGAGAGAGAGCCGTCTCAAGTTATCTCGAAATCGAGAGTCACATGTCCCATTATCACAAAAAAAAAAACAAACAGATCGTCCAAGTAAGTTCAGTCTCTAACCTTCTTAGTCCCTAAGCATTTTCATTAGTGCGTCATGTACGCGAGAAAAATCAAGAAAATCACCGACACTTCTATCCAACAGTTTTTCCACATAATTTTAACAATATTTAATTACACGTGTACCGTTAGCACTTGATGCGGCCCCGACGTCTGACTGGTACCTGGCTGCTGATGAGGGTACGGCGGCTCCTGCAGTCTGGGCTTGCTGTAAGGCTTGTGCGGTCCTTCCTCGTAGCTAAAACTGGCCGTATTGTTCCTGGCTTCCGCGCTGGGCGGTTTGTAGAGCGGCGGCAAACGATGTCTACCTTCTTCAGATACCATTTCAAGACTCTCCTCGGTGCCGGTCAACGCGCCGAGCGGTGTGCCCGACAAAGGCCTCACGACGGACACGCGAGGCTCGGAGTCCTGGTCCTTGAGCGGATTGGCGTATCTCCTCAGGTTCTCCTCGTTCTGAAGATTGTTGGATTTTTCGTCCAGATCGCTGCGATGGCGATGCAACGAGGTTTCGCTGCTGGTAGTCGCCGTCAAGTTCGACCTGTGCCTCATAGTTCTGAGGTACCAGAGGCTACCGAACAGTGCCAACAACAGCACGGTTGCCAGAGCGCCGCCCAGAACCGCCACGTAGCCGCCGGCATTGGCCGCGCTCGCCGCACTGGGCTCGCTAAGCAGCGCCGTCTCTACTTTGACCTCCAGCACGGAGGCCAAAACGAGAGGCCTGGCAAGCGGACGACTGAGCGTTTCGCCGAGGTCGCGGGCCGCGTCTGCCGCCGCCTCGGAGAAGATGGTCACTTCGACCGTATCGTTGTCGCCGGGCTTCAGATCGCACAGCAGCACCACCGACTGCGGCCTCCGTGGATCGGCCAGGAGCTTCCTCAGACGGCGGCACATCAGTTCCACCGACGTGCCAGGCGCCAAGGTGTCCCTTCGCAGTAGTATCGTAAGTCTCGAGCAAGTTGGCCCGAGCGTGGACTGTCCGGGCCAGCAGGACGGCGGAGCTGGTAGCGCGGGCGGGCCGACTCGCCTCCCAGTTTCGATAGGACGGCACTCGCCCCACGCCGGACACGGCGGCGCCAGGCAACTCTCGCCTGGACTAGGAACGCAGACCTCGTGGGCCAAACAAGACGTGCCGTTCAGACAGTTGCCCGGTCCGCACCAGACGTTGCTGCACTGATTCTTGCCGTTCCGGCATTCGCACACGTTGCAGTCGTCCTCCCACGTGGCAGCCGTGCAACCGGGCCCACCGGCAGTTCGGATCTCGCATCGCGGGCCGGTTCTACCGGGTGGACAGACGCACGAGTAGCTCGCGATACCGTCCACGCATGTGGCACCGCCGGTGCACGGATCGCTCGCGCATTCGTTCACGTTGATGCGACAGTCCGGCCCGGTGAAGCCGGGCGCGCACTCGCATCTGAACCAGTTGTCACCGTCCACGCATTTGCCGCCGTTCAGGCACGGCACCGGCTGGCAGTCGTCCACGTTGCGCCGGCAGTTCGGTCCTTCGAAGCCCTCGCGACAAACGCACCGGTAGCTGCCGTCCACCGTGTTCACGCAGGTCGCGCCGTTCGCGCAGGGATTACTCGTACACGCCGACGGCGACGCGATGTGGCAGGCCGCGCCCTCCCACCCGCGCGGGCAGTGGCACGTGAAGCCGTCGCCGCGATCCTGGCAGGTGCCGCCGTTCCGGCAAGTGCCCGGTTCGCAGTGGCCGCGGCGCAGCGCGCACGTCTTGCCCTTCCAGTCACCCTGGCAGATGCACGTGAAGTCCGCCACGCCGTCCACGCAGGTACCATTGTTGCGGCAAGGCTGCGTCAGGCATTCGTCCACATCTGGAAGAATTCGTTTACCACATTACATCAAGTCCAGTCGACCAAATCGGTCCATCTCTATTGCATTCTTTAAATGTCCCGTTACTTACTTTGGTCACAAAGATCCCCGCTCCAGCCCTCCCTGCAAATGCACTGGAACGAGTTGAGCAGGTCGACGCACGTGCCGCCGTTCAGGCAGGGATTTCCGCGGCAGTCGTTGATGTTCTCGTGGCAGTGCACGCCGGTGTAGCCCGGGTCGCAGATGCATCTGCCGCCGCTACACCGGCCCTTGCCGCCGCACGGGGTGCCTTCGCTGCCGCAGCCCGACTGACCGTCGTCCAGCGCGCCGAACTGCGGATTGTGCGAGGCCGGCTCCGAGCAGTTTCTGCCCTGCCACTGTGCCGGGCAGTGGCAATAGTAGTCGGTCTGCGTGTTGAAGCACGGCGCTGAATTGCGACACGGGTTCGGGCTGCAGTGATCGCGGTCGATCTCGCACTGGTAGCCGGTGAAGCCCACCGGGCACACGCACTCGTAGGTGTTCACCAGATCGCGGCATTCGCCGCCGTTCTGGCACGGCTTGGACGCGCACTCGTCGATGTCGACGTCGCAGTCCTTGCCGGAGTAGCCGGGGCTGCAGCTGCAGTGATAATCGTTCACCAGATCGATACAGAGCGCGCCGTGCTGGCACTGGCCGACGCAGTCGTTGATATTCTTCGTGCAGTTCTTGCCGGTAAAGCCGCTCCGGCATCGGCACCTGCGAAACGAAACGATCAAACTTGTAGGCGACAGGGTTGCGACTCGCGGGAGAATCGCTTGGGCCCGGTTTCACCAAACGTCGCTTAATCTTTAATCTTAGTTTAATTCATGCTTGTCTCTCTCCGAGGTAACAGTTGGAGAGAGACAAAGAACGAATTAAACTAAGCTTCAAGTTAAACGACGGTCTGAAACCGGGTCTTAGAGCTTCAGTTAGACTCGAGTATAATCTGCTCTCCCGGGTTCGTTAATTGCTGTCCGCCCGATTCGCGGAAGATTAATGGATTTTTAAATCACATTTAACGCAATAGCTCGCGTTTATTACGCGTCAGCATTATTTTACAAGCGACGTCACTCGTGACGATACAGACACGTTATTATTATAGTTTAACGCCCCGTATCGCGGGGAGGAGAAATGGTTTGTGGCGACTTAATTTTCAATAACTATATCGTCCGTGGGAAACCTATCATTTGTAACGCTCTGTGATTCGAAAGAAAGACTGGACGGAAACTCCAGTAATATCAACCTGTCGTAAAACAGCGCTGTTAATATGTATATTTACGTCAAATCTGTTAATGATACATGCGAGACATGGATGATGACATAAATTTCAACATCCCCTCCGCAATTATCGAATGTTATCAGTCAGTTGCTTTTATATACCAATAAACGCGTTCTTATCTAGTCGTTTAAACGCGTAAGTCCTCTAGTTCCCGTTGAATACGCGGCGCATATGCGAACGTAATTTTGACGCTTATCAATATTGAAAAAGTGAAACCCCACAAAAATTTTTAGAGTGAAACATCCTCTCCGTTGGAGCAAATATTCACGCTCCATGGCAGTGTTTTCACTCCAAGGACTTTAGAGAGCACCGTTGTTGAAAGGTCTCCCACGAGTCCGCGATAACTGACGGCAAAGGCGGCGGTACCTACCTGTAATCGCCGGCCAGGTTGATGCAGGTGAGGAAATTCTTGCAGGGCGACTCCTTGAGCGTGCACTCGTCCACGTCGAACTGGCAGAGTACGCCCTGCCAGGCGGGCGGGCAGCTGCAGGCGAAGCCGTTCTTGCCGTCCACGCAGGTACCGCCGTTCTGGCACGGCTGCGAGGCGCACTCGTCGATGTCGGTCGCGCAAAACGGCCCGGTGAAGCCCGGAGCGCACTGGCACTGCGCGGTCTCGCCGAGCTCGCGGCAGGTCGCGCCGTTCTGGCACGGGCTGGACGCGCACGGATTGTCGACCTTCTCGCACGTGGGTCCGGAGAAGCCCTCCGGGCACGTGCACTGGTACTGATCGGGCGCCGTGTTCTCGCACGTGCCGCCGTTCTGGCACGGCTCGTGCGTGCCGCAGTAGTTGAGGTCCTGGTCGCACAGTATCCCGCCCCAGTTGGTGTCGCAGATGCACTGCCAGCTCGAGCCGTTGCAGTAGCCGTGCTTGCAGCCCGGATAGACCATGCACTGGTCGCAGAGCTCGCCGTGCCAGCCGGCACGGCACTGGCACTCGCCGCTGACGTTGCAGTGGCCGTGTATCGGATGGCAGCCCTCCTTACACACGGCTGAAATGATTTTTGCAGATTAACACGGCGTGCCGTTCTCGGTGCGGTCGATTTGAGATTCCAATCGTTTCCAATAGCTTCCTTAATGACTATCTCGCCGCGGTAACCCCGGCGCGGTTCCACGCGCCTTCGCATTTATTTTCAAACCGTTGTAAATGAGATGCAAGACGTAACTGTATCGCGAAGATTAATATACTTTGCGTACTCTCGAGGGATTTCAGTTTTACCCATCGATCACGGCTATTGAACGAGAGAGATGCGAGAAGAATCTCCTCGCGAGATGTTCGCGAGCATTTGTGGATGGTGACGTGGACGGATTAAGTCTCTTGTTCGTCTTCCGTGCGCGACACGCGACATGTAAGTCATAGAGTCGGGGCAAACGCAATTAGCGGAGACTCTAATGAACAAAATGAGCGTACACGCGTTGAGGCGCGAACGCGGAAGGACTCGACGAGAGTGGCACTTGCCACGGTTTCTCGAGGAGGAATACGCGAACGATACCAGACATCTCTCGATTACTGGATGCGAGAGGAAGTGCCAGAGCAACAGGTACATACGTCCCTAACAGCAACGATGTCATTCGAATCATTTCTACTTCTATAGAATGTACTAAGGATATCCTAATACACTAGGAACATCCCCACAAAGGCCTGTGTCCACGATGCTAGAACTTGTTCCAAGTTCTAGGCTATTCCATAAAAGCTGCAAGTTGATGGCTACAGTTTCTTGAAACTAGAACTTGGACCAAGCATTCGGCACACGATACTACTTTTCCTACTGGATTGTTTACGAGAACCAATAAGGATGCAGAGTTTTAGATCAGGTGGCTCAAGGCTGAAGCCCGATTGGCACCCGTAAGCAATCCAGCAGGAAGAATAGTATCGTGTGCCGTTGGCTTTATACTAAATATTCTAAGAATCTACAGCTACTGTTAAGGCCCGTGTCCACGCAGCTAAAACTTGGTTCTAGCATCGTGGACACAGGCCTTTAAGGCTTGTTCCTTCGTATCGGTGGACGAGAGAGAAAATCTAGAGTCCGTTCTCTACAGCTGAACTGGCCGAGAGTCCATCTTTCTCCTTCTAGTGTGGAGGGAAAAAAGCCCCTGAACTAGTGCGACCAGTTCAGCTGTAAAGAACGGACCCCTAACTTCGGGGCATCGTAGGTGCCTAGGGAAACGACGAGGCGCGACGATGACGACTCGGTTTCTTCCCGGTTTCCCCCCGCCAGGATTAAAAGGGTGGAAAAAAAAGAAGCAGCGGGAAAAGAGGACGTACGTGACGGGGATCTCGCCGGGACCGGGCAACTCAATTAGCCGGTGGGACAGAAAGACAGATGAGAAGTGACAGAGAGAAGGATTATCCCTCCAACCGTGAAACGAAAACTCATGCCGCGCGCGCTCGACTCGCTCGTGTGCCGTGCACATACGCGCGTACGTATGTGTCTTTTCGGGATTTGAGTCGGCCGTGCGGCAACCAACACCTTTACCGTTACCGTATTGCACACGGCGCGATTATCGTTCGCGCGTATATACCGCCCGCGGCATTCCTAATGATTAATAGCCCCGCTCTCTCGTCCGGCACGGACAACGGACATTTACGGATATTTATACGACTGCATATGCGATACTTCGGGGCCCCCTAAATGACGGTGCATTCGCGACAGCCTTTTCTTGCCGCGCTGCACCGTCCCGCGATTCCCGCGAGATGTGCCCGGCGCTCGCGCGCACACGCTAACGTCGCCGTGTCATCGTCGTCACCGGCGTCTTCCGTCGTTCGTCGAGGATCGAGCTAATCAAGCCTTGCCCCGCCGTGCTCTTGCGATCCCCGGGGGAGACTCTCTCGCTAGTCCTCTCTTTCGCACAGTTTAGAAACTATAAATCCCCCTCCTGAGCTCGAACGATCGTGCCTGCTACTCGTATACCTTACGGCTCGCGGTTGATTAATACGCTGGCAGTTAGGTAAATTAACTTGCGCGAAGCGTCTCTTCCTTTTTCCGCATCGCGTGTCTTTTTCTACGGGACAGCTGCGCGAAGAGAGGCGGACTGTCGGGCCGGCGCGCGGCGGTCAGCCGATTTTTCGTGCGATCGTACTTCGTATACGCGCGCGCGCCCGCGGACCGCGCTGCGCTCGGAAGCGCTTTCCAGGAAAATTCGTCCGCGCTTGCAATTTTTATTCGCCCGTCGGCAATCCGCCGAGAGGGTCATTGTCGTGATGCGACCCTCTCTCGCCTAGAGTGTAATTATATTTTTATCTCGCGCGCACAGACGCTCGTCTCTCGACGCCGAGTATAACGCGCGGACGGGAACGTTATTATTATAATTTTACGAATTGTGTTCTCAGTTTAATTTTATCGTCGCGTGTCATTCGTCGTTACGCAACGGTGCGATAGTTTTGCAGAGAAAATTTATTAATTACGTGCGCTGAGCGCGCCCGCGAGATCCTTTCGCGGTTGCCAAATGTTAAAGGAGCACCGTGTGTGCTTTAGTGTAGAGATCTTACCTCTATCGCGCGCGACCAGGTTGGCGCATCGTGTGAAGACGATGCACGAGTGAAATTCTCCTATTGACCTTTCACAGCGCGATAAAAATGTCGGAGCCAGTTCTCTCTCTCTCTCTTTCTCTTTCCTTCTATCTTTTCTCGTAGCCGAGACTCGCGTCTCATCGCCTTGCACGAACACGCGATCTTCGCCGATAGTTTCTAATTGGGGTTTGCGCGTTTTTCCGTTCGCTTAAGTAGAACGTGCTCAAAACGATAACTCGATCTTCCCGCGTCGGTAAACGAGCGAAACTTTTTAGGCTTCGCGCCTTACATCGGGGAGGTTCGATCTTCTGAGATCGGAAGTTGGCTCGAAACTGGAAACGAAAGTGTCGCGGCAAAAGGCGGATTATCGAGTAGCGGCCTCGAGATGATCGCGTGGTCGCTGGTTATCAAACGGTAGAATCGCAAAGTTCATAGTGCCAAGGAAAACGAGCAGCGCCAGTCGAAGTAACCGTATATTATTTAAATTCCTTCGGTATCGTGCTAACTCGCGAGATGACCGGGCGAGCAAATTATTATTTGCGCGCATGACCTCAATCATCTTGCAGCTATAGTTTTAAAGCACACCCCAAAATTTATTTCGTACTAAAGTAATAATACGCGCGCGTGTTTACAGCCCCTTGAAATTGAGGGATTCGTGCCTCACGGGGAGAACTTTTTCTTAACATTTATACTGAAAATTATGCCACCGTGGGACAACATGGCATTAAAAAAAAACTCATACAGTTTTTCAAAATGCTATCTTGTCCCACGATTACACGATTTTCAAGAGAGAATTCTCTCCGTGCGGTTTTTTTTATAACGCTTCGTTACTAAGATTCACAGCTCCTTGAAATTGAGGGATTCGTGCACGGGGACAATTTTTTCTTAAAATTTATCCTGAAAATCATGTCGTCGTGGGACAACATGGCATTTCCAAGAATGTTCTGAGAGTTTTTGAAATTTTACCATACATTCTGCTAGTAGAATATATGGGAAAAAAGTAGTTTTTTAAAATGCCACGTTGTCCCACGATTACACAATTTTCAGGGTGAATTTCAAGAGAAAACTCTCTCAGTGTGACTTTTTTATAACGCTTCGTTACTCAGATTCAGAGTCTCCGAAATTCATACATCAATTCCTTCGGAAAGAAATACGTTATCGAGCAGCAAAAAATAGAAACTTTACAATTTGTCAACTCCGTAACAAGGCAGACCGACAATCGTACTGCGATACTGTACAATTCCTTTATACTTCTCATGTTAATTGTATGTAAAACATTTACTCCTACACGGAAAAAACAATGTAGCTGCTGTAGCTAAAACTTAGCAAAATAGGGACAGCTAATATTTTAGTTGCGATAGCTCAATATTTTGCTACTGCGCCTATTGTATTAGGTGCGACAGCAAACGGTTTGCTGTCGTAGCAAAATATTGAGCTATCACACAGAAAAAAATAATATTCTTCTTTTGAAAATATGTTTAGTTTCAACGTGAAAATCTTGAAATAAGATTATATTGCGTTAAACGAAGAAAACTTGCTTGAATGAAGCAATTTTATAGAATTCAATCAAAGAAAATATATACTTATTATTTCAGAATAATTTCCTTGAATGGAAAGGAAATAATATTGAATAGGAGATAACATATTTTCAAATCGAAGATTATAATTTTCTTAGAGTAAAATTACATATTGTATTCTTGAAGTGACAATTATAGTATTTAAATAAGACTGTAATATTGTTGGAATATAAGATTATTAAATGCTTCAAAGAAGATTATAGATTGTTGCGTATATACGAAACAATGAACGCGTTAATTTGAGTACATAAGAGTTTATTTGACACTTATGTTTTTTCTGTGCACAACTAAAAATATTAGCTGTCCCTATTTTGCTAAGTTTTAGCTACAGCAGCTACATTGTTCTTTCCGTGATAGATCTCACTTGAAAAGGGCCTAAACCAAAGGTCGAGACGTTGTGAAAGCGTATTGAATAAATGTGGCCAGCTAAGGTCGATTAAAATTTAAAACTTGTTTATATCAATGCTGGCAATCTGATGAAATATGCCATTTACATTTGTACTTATTTTTTATCCACCTCTTGACTTTACAATAGAACTTTCCCCCGGCGTAGCGAACGTCGGGCCGTTCTGGAAAACGAGTGTCACGATTTAAATGCCGGAGCGCGGCAAGGGGACTCACGTATCTATCTAACGGCCGGAATCGTCAAATGAATGCGGTCGGGGCCTCCTCTCCTCGCCGTCGGTCCCGCTCGCGATCGACCTTATGCGTGCGCTCTGCCCCGTCGCAAGGGGGAAGGGATGACAGTAACCGCGGAGCGGTCACGGCGAGGCGGAAGTAACGATTAAGCAGCGAAGAAAGAGCTGTTATATTAGACGGCGCAGCATTGTGCGACTGGACCTGGCGTGATGTGTCGCTACCTTTGTGGCGATCGTACGACATGCGCCTAACGTCCGCCTCATTGAGGCACGCTCCGGGATAATTCGCGTGTTTTACGATCCATACGGGACCACGCACGGCGCGGCGGCGCTCGTCTTCCCCTCGGCTCGGCTCCGCCGCGGCGACTTCCTGCGCGCTAAATCGCGGACGTGACGGAATTGCGTTCCCCGGGGGGGACGGACGGGGAATCCGGAACGGTGGAAATAAAGATAGAAATCGCGGATCGCGGAGGGCAGCCCCGTCCTTCCGTTCTGCCGTCGGTTTTCTCGGCGTCGTTTTTTGCGCCGCGTTCGCTTCCGCGTTTACGACCTTCCGCAAATTACTCGAGTCTCATCGTTATGGCGAAAAATATATTACCCCCCCCCCCCGAGTCCTCAATAAATACTTTTCAGGACAAAAAACGAGCTAACGCTAATAACGTAAGAGCGAGATATCAGGTTCATTGTTCGTAATATTGCCCTATCTCGACTGTCATCTACGGAGTTTCGCAGAAGCAGGTGCAAGATAGGATCCCCCAGGCGAGGGGTCGGGACCTCTTTCTATTTTCAACATTGTCCAACTTGCGCGACGGTTTGAATATTAATACAATGACTATTAATTGGCCCGTAATCGAATTGGAAGCCTCGTTAAACCGAGAAGTGCACGCGCGCGTGTGCGAGAAATCGAGTTAAACGACACCCATAAGCGGTGAACCCTGTCGCGAGATTTCACGTTCCAATGAACGATTAATTATTCTCTTGGCGGCGCACGGGAGAGAGCAAAAAATCAGCCTGCGCCGCATACGCTATCGATATGCTCGAGGATACCCTTATGCGTAACGAGACGATAACGATGACGAGCGAGAATGCGGCGTGTGCATTTCGTATCTTTGTATCTAATAAAAACAGGCTCCCCTGGATAAAAAAGAGACTTCTATGAACAAGTTCGTTAATTAAGCACCCTTTTTTTCTTACTCCGTATAAAGCGCGCATCTTTTGCGCCGTCAAAACTGATAGGCCGTTGCGTGTTTGCAAAATCAAGATGTGACGAATTAAAAATCAAATACGACTCGCTCTCTTTCTGTGTAGCGCTTGGATAAAAGTTATCTACTCGCGAAACATTTTCCACGAAAGGATGCGCGGAGAAGGGTCGGGGAATACGTTTACGGTGATATTTTTCACCCATACACCGCGTCCGGTGTAATTAATAATGCGCGCGGTAATGCGTAGTTATGCGCGCGGTAAACGCGGGATTAATCAGCAATAATTCATTCTAAAGTCGATGCACACCTGAGGTGCTAATACTGAAATATGTTAAGGGAATCCCTCGCCTCTCTTTCGCGCAGCGCATTCCTGCCCGCGCGATCTGAAAGGAACAAGTAGAATTGCCGTTGGGGAACGACTCGCCAATCTATCGAGGAAAATTGTCTTCCCGAAAACGTCGAGTTCAGTTGCGATTAATCTAATTGCGAATTCGATTGCTCGCACTAGTGCGCACCGAGTGCACCCCATACAGCACCGAGGCTTTCAGAAACATTGCGACATTGCAACAATGTTTTCTGAAATGTTTCTGAAAGCTTTGGTGCTGTATGGGACACCAAGGCTTGTTTACCGTCAATTCTTAGATTCAGGGCCGTCTTAAATGCACGTTCAAAAACCATCTAGCCAGAGAAATGACGTAGTTCATTTCACTGGCTAAACAGTATTACAAGAGGTATTTAAGGATGTATTGGACGTACAATCTTAGACAAAAGTGCATGAAATTGGAAATACTTATATATCTACTCTTAACGCATAGTAAATGTAGATGTAAGAAACTTGAACGATAGTTGGAGTCTTATTTGTATTCCTACAAAGGTATTTTTCACTTTACAAATGTTTTTT